GAATAGAATAGAATAGAATAGAATAGAATAGAATAGAATAGAATAGAGAATGGAATGGAATGGCAATAACTAAGGTACCCTGGAATTTAAATTTTACAAGAAACAACATTGTTCCCAAAGAAGAGTCGGAAGCAGCGAAAGAAAGTGAAAAGGGAAAGGTTTGCCTTTTTTCTTCTTCTCTCTCCTTCCTTATATTGACAATTACGAATAAGAAATTGGAAAAATCCACTTTGGCATCAACTGGCAATTAAGCTGAAAATATAACTAAATGCCAAAGGGACAATAAAGATTTGTGGACATTAAAACCTTTTTCTTCTATAAGCAAGAAGGGAGAGAAAAAGAATAAGGGCGGGATCTGGAGGAGGGAGGAGACTGCCTGGACTTTAAAAGAATCTAAAATAAAATTTCAATAAGACTTCTAAAAGATACATTTTAACTGAAACTTTGCAACTAAATAGTAACCCCAGAAAGAGGAAGTGGGGAAAAAAAGAAAAAGCAAAAAGAAACAGTTTGTGTGTATTTGGATTACTTGGTGACTTTTGGATTTTTGGCTATTATATTTGAATGACTAAAATCAATCGGGTGGTTGTTTAAAATTTTTTACAATGGCATCACTTTTCAATGAATTGAAAATGGAACTTAAAAAGTACAAAGAAGATGCACAAGAAGGGAACGGTTCCCTTGGCTTCGTTTTTCAATTCCTAGAAATGGAGATTTGGAACTATGAGAAACAACAAGAAAAGACTGCAAAACAAGAAGACTGGGACAAAGAAGAAGCCATCTTTAATGAACAAGTAACTATGTGGGGAAGAAAAAGGAAAGGGGGGAAAGAGAATGGAGAATTTAAGACTTAAAAAAACAACCAAAGAAAAGAAAAATAATTAGAAAAATAAGTATAATACTGGAAAACAACAGAAAAGGGGAATACAGAAGAGGGAAGTAGAGGTAGAGAGACAAAGGGGCAAAAAGGGGAGGGAGAAGAAGAGAGGGAAGAAGGAAAGGAAAAGAAGCCACAAAGGTCCGGAGCAAGATATAAAGAAACAGGACCTATTTAGAGATAATGGGTAAAAATTTAACTGAAAGGGGGATTCTGTAAAGGTACATGAGATTGTGTTGTTATATTTGAAATAGAAATAACTTTAGAAAATTGGAAACAACATAGGATTAGAATGAAGGATAGAATGGTTAGTGTAACTTAGTGAAATGTTTGTGAATAAAGTAAATGAAATAAAATAAATAAGAATATTGAATTAGGAAGGAATGGGAACACTTTAATTAGTCAATCTTTTATAAAACATAAGTGAAGAGGGAGGGAATTGACTATGGAAAGCTAATAATTGTTCCCATAGAGGTATGATATTTAATTGAAAAGTAACGTGAAAAATCTTAAGACTTTAATGAATTTTAATATTAATGATAGAATTGAATTGGAATGGAATGTTGTTTTGGGCCCTCGCCCTGCCCCCTCGCCTTCCCCTCCCAGTCACTCCTTTCCTAAGAAGGTAAGGGTGATGGTGGCGGATAGAGACTCACCCCATATTCCAGAGCGGGAGCAAAGCGCCCCTTTACTTGCCTCTGGCCCTGGTTGGTGCTACGCACAACTTAGCCATTCCGGGAGACACGCGACTTTCGCTCCAACCCGAGACACTGGCTGGGCTGGCTGCAGGCGATGCTCCACATCATAATGGGCTCCAGGAGGAGAGGATGCTGCCTCCCCCATTGTGAAATGTGCTAAATTTAAGTGTGCTGCACAAGGTGCTGCAAGGCCATGGAGGCAGTGAGAGGAATATGGGGAGACGCACAACTTTCTCTCCGCCCCAAGACACTGGCAATGGGCAGCTTGACTTGGAACAGCTTCCATTCTGCGAAAATATCTGTGATGACCCCTCAGGGCATGGCACGAAGGCAACACAGTCAGATAAGCAATCGTTATTATCTCCAACTTTGCCCCCAATGTCAAGTTTACCTTCTGGCTGGAGAAAAACTCTCTCAGGAACAGCCTTTCACTGCAGAAAATTAAGTCCAAAACAGGGTCAACACAAACTGTAACTTAAAGTCCAAACAAGCCAAACTGAAATAATTAGTTTGGCAGGGCAGGAGCAAGAATTTCATATTTGAAGGCACAGCAAAACTCACATGGTTGGGAAGACGCCAGGAACACAGATAAGCCATGACGATACAAGATAAAGTCACGTTTGCTCCTAGCAGCCTGCCGCACACAGCCTGCCTTTCTTTTAAACTCTCATTCCCAGATGTGGCTAATGAAGGGAATCGGGGCCCTTTCCTGCCCCGTAAGCTATGCAACCCATGTTGCTCTCTTCTCCATTCCTCCCTATGTGCCCTAGGATGAAGAGGGGGTGGGCCTGAGTCTTCCTCTGAACTCCCTCTCCCTTGTTCTACCTCTCCCCTGCTCTGCCCAGCCGGACTTTGCCCTTCCCCAGTTTCCTCCACAGCCAACAGAGCCACACTCCCACTCCCTGTCAGCTGTTCATCTTCTTCCTTGGATTCAGACTCCGATGGGCATGACAATATATTTAACACCATCAAACATATAGATCTGCTTATCCTAGGTCCTTGGAAAGGACCCAATAGGTGGGTAAAAATGCCAAATCCAGTCTGAACCTCTGGCTGACTGTGTGATGAACCAAAAGACTAAGACTAAGGGGGGGGAGGGGAGGAGGAGGAGTGGGGTGGGAAAGTCCATATCAGTTAACAGGGAAATACCAGTATAACTTCCAACATGAGATTCTGGCTGGAGATCTTAAGCCACAGCTAACCACTGCAACTACACAGCTCCAACCTGTGTCCAAACAAACCATATTCTGGCCCACAAACCTACCAAGGCAAGGGCTGGTTCCTACAATGCTCGGTGAGATGCAAGTTATCTAACCCTATTCTGAGAATTTAGGTCATTTCCATACCCCACCAGTTTTCTCCTGAAGCAGCTTCGCTAACTGTACGTGTAGGGCAGGGGTCCCCAAACTTGGCAACTTTAAGACTTGTGGACTTCAAGTCCCAGAATTCCTCAGCTAGCTTTACTGGCTGTGGAATTCTGGGGGCTGAAATTCACAAGTCTTAAAGTTGCCAAGTTTGGGGACCCCTGCTGTAGGGTATCACCACCGAGGCACTTTTCTTTTAACCACGTCCACAGCTGAGGCCCCCTGATTTATGTGGTTCCCAAGCTGACTTCCCAACAGGA